AAGATCAGCTTGAATTAGGTCTTGACTTTTGTTCGATAAGAGAGTCGAAACTGCTCGCTCGTGATACCGAATAGCCTTATTCTATCAATGAAAGCATCTTTTGATAATTTTGTTCTGAGTATTTTCTCACGTAAGATTTCATGTGACACCACAGATCTTCCACCGACGCTAATTCGCAATGAAATTTTGGTAAATAAATTAGTTTTATGCCATAGGAATTTGCGAGAATCTCCAATTTGGTGATCTATGCGAAAAAAATCAAAAAAAATTTAGCAAAATTTTTAAGGCGATAATAAACAAGTCCGTGTCCACAGTCACGGTTTTAAATGCGGCGTGTGTAGACAGTTTGTCTCTCAACTTCGACAGTTTTGTTTTCTCATTCACATCGAACCCGAGTTTTTTGAACATCCTTCTTTCACGTCCGACGGATAATAATAACTGAGTCTATGATGTTTATTATTCTGGTCCGACCATTCTGTGTGACGACCGCTCAGTGAATAGAGTTTCGTGGTGTGGGCGGTGGCATTGTCGACTAAAACTTCAAATTCACAGTTCTTGAACTCTTTTTTAAATGGCAATAACTTGAACAATCTTTCAAACTGCTCTAAAACCACTTCGTTAGTAAAGTAACAATCTACAGATTGTTACTTTACTAACGGAGTGGTTTTATTGGTACAGGTACCAATTGCAATGGATGCAGTAGCTGAATTTGGCTCGTAGTTTATTCCCGAGGTGTTTGAAAGTTCCGGGTACTTGTTAAGAGCTGCACGAAATTCAGAATCGGTCAGAGGAAAGAATGGTGATGACGGATGAGCGACGAGAAAACCAGAAACCATAAGGAATCTTCCTCTTCCTTTGACAAAAAACGGTTTGTGGCCCTCAGCCATCCAGTGCTTGTGAGAAATCTCGTTAGAACGAAAAGTACTTTCGCCGTGACCTGCAAAAAAAAAGAAAAAACGGTCCAGTAAGAGACAAACGCCGGAAGGAGCCAGTGCGCTACGTACACAGCACAATAACTGGTTCGAGAACTGGTGGGTCTACCCATTTTGGATCACTCCCTTCTGAAGCTTGATAATAAAGCTTCTCTCGGGACAGAAAATAATTAAAAAACTATTTGCTCACGGTGCTCAATAACGTCTGTTCTCTCGTGGCCCACGTAATAGGGACGGCTTTTGTTCGTCGAATAGCTGATGCCCGAAGCTTTCAGATCAAGACGACAGCTCTGGACAGACCGAATATAGCCTGAACCGTCTTTTAGTAAGCCATTAATTTCATAATATTTGTTGTCTATAAACTGATCTAGTTCTTCGACCGTAAATGACGCAGCTTTTCTCGTACAAGCTTGAATAGTAAATTAGCGCGCTTCCTCTTCAATGTCTGGATACTGATCTCAAAATGCGTCACCACGCTTACCACCTCGTGCATTAGCCGCAAATCTTTCAAAACCGTAGGTGATCAATCTGTCGGTTTGCTTGTGACACGTTGCAGCTCTGTACCCTCCAATTTCACTTAGAAAAACATCGACGTCACGACATGGAATGTTGGAATGACATGTACAATAGAACACTTAAACATTTTGTACTGCAGTTTTGTTTACAAAACTGTTTTAACTGGGTTTTTCTCTTATTATTTTTCGGCATTTTAGAAAAAAGTGAGATTGTTTTAAGCGATAAAAACAGCTCCTAAAAAATGTTCTTACAAAAAGCTTCCTCTGTGTACCGCCCAGCAGTGAACCATCCTCATACATGGCGGTTGCCTAACTGCTTGGACCAATCGAAATTGTTCGCGCTTCCTTCCAGGATGAGCGCAAGATGTCTTACGCGTATTGAATATTCAGGTTTGTGGTTACAAGACCGCTTTCTTCAGAAAGGTTTTTCTGAGACACTCCACAGACTTCGTAGAGACCTGACGTGACTCTTATTTGATTCCCCATATTTTTTTACCTGTAATCTGTTAATTTGATTCGGTTTGGACGAAAACTGTGGGAGTTATAAAAAAATCACTTGGCCGTTTTCCGTTGGAACGTGCCGTTTTTAAAAGAAAGCCCGCTTATTTCGAAACGAAAAACAGTTTCGGGAAAAACTCTTCGTAACTTTGTTCTACATTTCAAGGCGAATCTTTTGATGCCAAAATAAAGTCTATAGGTGCTTACCCATCTTAGGAGAAAGAGCCGCAAGCTTGAGGGCTAGAACTGAGACCGGTCCCTGTTAGAGGGACTACGAAAATTTTATTTTACTGCAGAAATCCTTGAAAGACACATTCTTAGGAGCTATTTATGATGGAGAATCCGAAAAAATTAGTTTAAAAAAGTTGTAACGGGTGTGGGAAAAACTGGTGCACTTTTTCGCAAAATTTCGATTTTTTCAGGTTTTCGACCCACCTTCAGTGTTTCACGTTTTTCTCCATGAAGATCTGACTTTCTCAAACTAAAAAGGTGATATTTGGGATCAGCATGATTTTCTCTATCAGAATATGTGTGAAAACGCCAAAATAAAAACATGTAAATCCTTTGAATTAGCGGCGCCTTATTCAAAATTTGTTAGTAATACCAAAATCAAAATTTTAGACTTACTACATTATACTCAGGCAGTTTCAGGGCATTTCAGCACGCGGAAAAGTCTACATCGGTTAACTTCTCGCGTTTCTTGGCAGGGAATGCTAAAGGATGTAGAGAATTATCTCCATACATGTGATGCATGCCACCACATTTTAGTGGAGGTCCACTACTTTACAAAATAGGTGGAATTATTTCGATTGCAAAACACGCGTTCTACTCATATTGCACAAATACTTCTCGGCAAAGTCGTTTGTCGCTTTGGAGGCTCAGTAAAGATCATCTCAGATAACGGTCCGCAATTTATTTCAGAAGTATACGAAGAAACTCTTCGTATTCTCCAAATAAAGCATCGCCGAACTGCCTTATATCACCCGCAAACAAATCTATCAGAGCGAATGAATAATACGCTCAAAACCATGATAAGAGCTTATGCTCAAAGTGATCGACGTACTTGAAATGTAAAACTCCCTCAACTGGCTTTCGTTCTAAGGGCTGCGATAAACCAGAGCACTGGAGAATCTCCTGCCTTCTTACAGTTAACCTTTTATCAGCATTTAATTTTGTACGAGAGCATCTCGAAATCGCACAACAAAATCAGCGTTCATCCTACGATAGACATCGCAGAAATGTGCATTTTGAGTTAAGCGATCTTGTGATAATGGCTGCCACAGTAGGTAGTGCACTCGGTAAATGGAAAGCACCTTAGTTGGATCCTCGATGGGTTGGACCATTTAAGATACGAAAAAAGATTACACCCCTAAATTACCATTTAACTTCCTTAGCTGATAATCGGGTGGTGGAAGTAGTATCTCGTCGTCGCCGTTGATTAGCTGTGTCAATAAATAATTAGTGGCGACAACAATAACTCTGTTGTCACCATAATGTATGTCACTGAATAATCCAAGACCGAATCGATTATTCAGTGTTGAATAACGAATTGTAGATATGCAGCAATACGTTCGTCACGACATAGAACAATCAAACGACGACTAGCGGATCCAGCACTGTTAATTCATTGAGCTAATAATTCTTTCTATACCGTCATTTCTTGTGCGTTCATTATATCCGATAGATTACAAATTAGCGAAAAGATGAAACGAATTATATTTTGATAAGAACAGGTAAAGAGTGTGTTCAATTTATGTGAGAAGTGACAGCAGAAAGACATTATATGAATGTGTTACTTATCAACACTTCGCGCCATTCATCCATTTTAATAAATTGATAATTTCTAGTTTTATGTAACGCGAACAATACCTTTTCTATAGTGTGAACGTTCGCAATTTTTGGGAACTAGTTTGATTCGAGGTCGAATCTTCTCTCTCCAGGTAGGGAGAAGATGTAACGGTCACGGAGGCCCCGTTACATGAAAATTGCGGGAAAAAATACATGGAAATCTTAATCCGGCTGTAAGGATCAATGAGTTTGTAACTATATGAAAAGATGAATACTTGAAACAACTTGTAATACAGTCGGAACCTTTTTGTGTGTGCGTTCCATGTAAATGAGAGTGTAGTTGTTGCTATACTCCGAATGGCTGTACTCCATGTATAAAAAACATCCATCACTCTCATCCTTACATTTCATGTTGTTTGCGTTGCAAAACAGTAATTGTTAACAATTGTTAATTCAATTTTCATTATTGATAATTGTTTCTTTAGTTACAAAAACTTAACTTATAAACAACTTTTATTTTCGATCATTATGTACATTTTTTGTGGTCTAGTTCAGATCTACTTTTTATTTAGTTTTCTTTTAGTCAAATTCTTGAGTAATAAAATATTAAAAACTCTAATATAAACTTAAGTGAGATTAAATTGAGCGAAGTTGTAGTGTTTGAATACGCACAGCGCTTATAGGGGGCTCTTAAACTAAGTTTCTGTCGACAAAGAAATCACGAGTGAAACTTTCTGTAATCTTGCTTGTAGAAGTTATAGTGTCCTGTTCATTATACAGTGCACTCATTTCAAATTCTGCTGGCAACTTTTTGAGACGAACAATTGCTGTATTACGATACTAAATGTGTCAAATTAGGTGGTCTAAACTATTTTTAATACTGAGTCGAGTCTCAAACAAATATTTTGTCGTCATCCGGTTTTTTCCTCGCTCGATTTTTCTCTGCTGATTTATTTGTATAAAGTGAAGACAAAGGAATTATAAAATAAAAACAACATTGAATGTTAAAAGAGCTACGGTGAAGAGAAATTAAATTTTAATAGAGAGGGAGAATAAATAAAAGGTTTTATGTGTAAATTAAACAGATGAAATTATATTCCGTTTAAATCCATTCAAAAAAAGATTAAACAAAATTTTCTTTAAATTTAGATCCTTCTACTCAAATAATAAAGCGAGCTATCAAGTGCCGAAGATTTAACTCAAGTACCCCTAATAGACATAGTCACAAAAGAATTAGTACTTGAAGAATGTAGAATAGTACTTGATTATGTCAACAGCCAGTGAATTTTTAAAATCTAAGCAACCAAGAGTGGTTGTTCGACCATCATTATCATCATCACCACCACCACCACAGGTAAGGTACTGCGTATATATCTTATCTCGCGTAACAAAGTGAACGCATTGTTAGGCAACTAAATGAAACTTTAGAAAAGAGATATATGCGCATAAATGTTATGAGGAAAAAATAACAAGGCGCTAACTGCTTCTCTGTCTATTGATCAAATCTACTTTATCTGTTTGAAAGTGTTTGGTTCTAGAAGAGATATCCGATTGCAGAACCATCGGCAGCTTCAAACAACGTGCAACAAGTTAATTTAGATTTAAAAACAATTCACGAAGTTCCAACAAAGTAAAGAATACTTAATTTAGCAATAAAACTTCTCTTTGTTTTCACGATATTTTTTTTTGAAGGTCGTCTTTTCGATCAAAGAAATATAAACGATTAATTGGTTTGGCTATGTGTTTAAGCTGTGTAATGGGTGCAGCCGTTCCATTTGTAATTGTGTTTGGAGGCGGTAAAAATACAGATACTTCAGGAACAACGGTTTGTCGGTAAAAACCCTAAAGCTTCTTTTTTCCCTTTCTCTTTGAAGTTACGACGACTACTACTTCAACAATAAGTAGTATTACGATCAGTACTTCTACGCATACAACAACGACAGGTAATTATCGTAAGTCTAAAATGAATGACGAGCCTTTAACATTTTATTTCACTTCTCCAGCTGTAACCTGTACATCAATGATCTCGTGGAATTCAACCGGGATCACAGTTGCAGGTGTTACTGGAAGTTCAGGCGCTACTTCAACTCTCATAAACTATCCGAAAGATGTAGCTGTTGATAGTTATATGGCTGTCTATGTATCAGATTCAGATAATGCACGTATTCAACGTTGGTCCGCCGGTGAGAGAAGAAGCTCTAGTGCAACTGAACAGAAGGTATGTTTTGCTTCATTGGGTTGTAAAAAGGTGCAACAATGGCCGACACGGTTGCTGGTACAACTGGTTCAGTTGGAAGTAGTTCAACCGAATTCGCTGAACCTCGTGCCACATTTATTGATTCAAATAATACTCTTTACGTAGCAGATTTCTTTAATTATCGTATACAGAAGTTCAGTTATAATTCAACGATTGGAGTGACAGTAGCTGGAGGTGAGTATGAGATGGTTCTTTTAGATCAGATTATCATTTTTGAAGAGACCTTTTTTTGAATTTAACTTACTAGTTGGAACTTCCGGTTCAGCATACAATCAAATAAACGGATGTTATGGTGTCTATGTTGATGGAAATGGTGCTATCTATTATTCTGATTATAACAACCACCGTATCATGCGGTGGGATGCTACAAGTTCAACAGGGGTGTTAGTTGTAGGCGGAAATGGAGCTGGTAGTGCGTTAAATCAGCTGAGTGGTCCTCAGAAATTCGATTTCGACCCAAACAATTCATCAATTCTCTACATTGCAGATCAGAATAATCATAGGATACAAATGTGGGCTTTGGGAGGTACAACGGGACGTACAGTAGCAGGTGGTAATGGATTCGGTAACGCCTTAAATCAACTGGCTTACCCATGGGACGTCCTCGCTGATGTGCAGGGCTATCTCTACATTTCTGATACTTATAATCATCGTATCCTGCAATGGTTGATCGGTGCTTCAAGCGGTGTAGTTCTTATTGGCTCAAGTAGTCCTACAGCCGGTAGTGGAGCTGCAGATTTGAATTATCCAAATGGAATTTTGTTTGATTCGTACAGAAATCTCTATGTGGCTGATTCAAATAATTTTCGTATCCAAAAATATTTATTTTGTACCTGAAGTAAGTTTCGATTAACTTCAGATTAGTTAAGGGCAGGTTTCCATAGTTTCTTACTTTTGCACTTTAGCTGCAACAAGAAAAAAGAATGAATTAACGACAAGTGATTTCCTGCACATTAATGTCCCTGTTTTAGAAAAAATATAATGACTCACTTGTTTTTACAGGAGCTACGACGACCACCTGAATGTGAATTTAAACTATAGAAAGTTCTCCTCACGTTCTTTGTAACCTAATAATTCATCCTTAATTGTATTGTTCAGTGTACAATTTTGACTACAGTAAAAGTAAATAAAAATTTGTGAGCTATTGGACAGTCGACCAGTACGCGATCATCAAACAAGAAACCAAAAAATTAACATTAAAAACCAGAAAAAGAATCGTAAATATTTTATCTTTTATGGTGTTTTCTTTTTTATGTTTTTTTATGTAACGTTAAATTCTGTACGTTACAGTGTGTCAAAACTGTTTGTCGATTTGTTTTTTCTTATTCAAGACATACGAAGGTTTTTTAAACATATGTTTTATTTTATTTTCATAAACGTGAAAAAATCTTATGCTACAAAGAAAAAAATATAAAATTTATTCTACTAAATGTAAAATATAGCAGTACACAAAAAATGGCGTTTATTTGCACATAATGCGCAAGTTATTGGTATTGTGTGGAAAACACGCGGTTTGCTTCTGAGTTATTTCCCCATTCCTTATTTACAGACTTTCTCTTTATAACTTATTCACCGTTTTGTTTTGCGTACGCAATCCATAATCCTCACAGTAGGTAGAAGTTACCAGAAATATGTGCTTTTTGTATGCCTTTTTTCAGTTATTTCAAAAACAAAATACTGTGGTATCAATCACGCTAGAGAATTTCAATAAAGTGCACCACTTAACACAAAACTGAAGCAGGTATTGATGATTTTTATGATATAGAATAGGAAAATTTTCAGATAAAGAAGTTTTATACAAATATGTCTCTCTAGTGAGTGACAAAAGCTTTGTCAACTGTTTAGCGAAAAACATAAGCTTTTCAGTGGTTTAATCTTCAGAAAGAATACCTACTGTTAAAGGAATTTCTTTTAGAGAAATGCTAAGGTTTACCGGCCAATTACTGCTAAAACATTTTTGCCTTCTGAGATTTAATTATATGACAGCCTTTTTGGATCATTTATTCCAATAAGGAGTCTATGTCTAAAATATATACTGTGTCACTGATTTAGTGTCAATTCTACTTTTGAACAATGGAAACAAATACATATTGTACTAAAACAACAGATTATGAACGAGCCTTTTTGAAGTTGATACGCACAATGCCCATTCATCATGTTATAGCAACTTTAACATTAAATCATGTTTTACCGGAAGAACTAAAGGATAAAAAACGACATATCACCAATATGATTAACTTAAATTACAATATGTAATATAAAAAATCAAATATCGGCTTTGTCATCGATATTGGTACACTTCAAGGTGTATTCGATGTTCAGTTAGTGCCACATTCTAAGAACGATGTTAATCAAATAATTGCGCAATATAGACAATCGGTTTATATTGATAATGTCAGTCAAATAAATATCATTAATCTATTGCCATTTACAACGAATTATCTTGAATGTAAAAATAAGCCCGATGTCTCACAGTTTTACAACGAAATGGCATTGATGAATATTGATTCATGTACAACTTGTAGCGTGCACATGAGTTACTGTAAAACCTGTAAAATATCATATTATTCATGTCGTTATGAAAAAGAAGCTGTGAAATTAAAATATGTGACAGCAACATCAATCAAGAATTCGAAATATATATGTCTTGGTGGAAAGATCGTTTTTCATCAAATATTGTTTGAAACTTTTACGTCTCAACTGATACTCGCTCATTCATCGTTTGAAGGTTTTTGTGCTGCCTATAATCGTACTATTGCTATGACAAAATTACCAGAACAAGTTCAGCAACAACCGAAAATGGACCAAAAATTGTTTCAAAACCGTTGGTTCACATATGAACTGGCGAACGTGAACAATATTTAACCAGAAATAATGAATATTTTTATTCTTTATTTGTTTCGTTTACAACATACAAGATACGGCATAAATCCGAATCGAAAAATTGTGATCAATGCAATTGGTCACGTGTTTTCGTTATAGATAGACATCAAAAGGCACACAGAAAAGTTTGTTCGTTGATAATGTTTGTGGTACAGCAATACCAGAATCAGGGCCGATATATTAATAGGGTGTATGGAAACTTCAGTCGAAATAAAGGTACATACCAAAGAAATTACCATTGATAACATCGAGTCCATTGCGCTAGTTCAGTCTTTGTACAGAATATAGCCACAGACAGTGGATTTAGTTTTACAGTTTACTGCAAAGCTAGGTTCATATATTCGAATCTCTATTCGTACAAAACTGGTTTTGTGTTTTTCGATAGTTTTAGTTTAGAATACTACAATGGAATATAATTCCGCTTGCATTCTGAAAATTCACGTACTAACTAGATCATTCTTAAAAACGTTGATTGCATATTTCGAACAAAGCGATCGAAATCCTTCGTTTCCATATTTTCCAAAGCAACAAAATGCCAGCTATCTGACGTTGAAAAAGCTTTTACTTTATCTTAAAAAGTAAGCATAATATACCCGTAGTTTCCCTCAGAAAATCCCTTTTCCTCGCTAAAAAGTTCTAAACCTCCTAAATATCCTAAAAAACATGATTTTTATATACTTTTTGCGAAAACACCCCGTTTTCCTTAGCAATTTTCTTCGTCAACTTTGGAGATAACACTTTTATATAAAGTTCACTAGATTATGAGTTGTCCGCTATTGAATAGGAATATTTTCAAGAGTTTAGACTAGAGGCTCCCATATGGCTCAGGTTTGCTCAAACGTCGCCTCGATGCAAAGAGACTGGCGACGGTGTAAATGAAAATTTATTTCGACGAAACAAATCGAACAAGGGATCGAACAAACACCAGGTTGAACAAAAACTTCAAAAAGAAAAAGTTTAATAAATTACCTAAAGTACAAAGGGCTAGAAACACAATTGATACATTAATATTTATTTCTAATTTCAGCAACAAGGTGCTATAAGCTGTTGTTCAGCCATAGAAACATTCCGCGGCATGTCTGTTTATTTGCCGTTTTCCGGAGGCGTGTATGTCAACTGAAATATCATAAACTATTGTTTGGGGACCTGAAACTGACACTAGACCAAGGCACATCCGTTAAGAAGCCATTTTAATGACAAGCAAATTTTGTGCGTGGTAAATGTCACCTCAATTGTTTGAAGTTTGATTATGAGAAAGAGCATCACACAATGCGAGTTAATTAACATGCACCATACACCTTTTTTGTTCATGAATACTAATCTTTTTAGTGATTAAAAAAACGTTCTCGCTCTTCTTTTGTTATTTTCCTTTTTCCCCCGATATATTTGTTGTTTAAGAAACTATGGTAAGTGTTACGAATTGAGTCTTATTTTGACAAGATATCGTATGAAAAAAGATGTATAATGGTAATATACCGTACGTGTATAAGAATGATTCTACCATTAAAACTTCATCAATTACAATTCTTCTACGTGATATTGATGTTCGCTGCACCAGTGCTATCATTAAGAAAAGCGTTTTTAATGATTTAGTTGGGAAAATGACGTGAATTGCAAAATTACCCAAGCTTTTTAAACTTATTTATGTCAAGTAAGGTGCATTTAATTTTGGAACACAATCTGTTTATCTGTAGTGTAGTCTCTGACGATGAAAGAAGTTCTAAAACCTAAGAATCAATGCAAGCTAGCATCATAAAAATGCAAAAGGTCGATAGCCTGAAACGCGTTCCTAGACTTACCTCCTCTTTCCACTGGAATCGTTCTGGTGAAAAAATGTAAAATACGAATAGCTGTAGTCAAACTCACAGCTTTTATCATCATGTCGCATCCTCGATTTATCGGGTAATAGTAAAACATGAAGACACCCACAGACAGCCACAAACAGCTGCACAGACAGCACACATACAACCACAGACAGCTACACAGACATCCAAACACAGACATCCATGGATGTCTGTGTAGCTGTCTGTGGCTGTCTGTGGTTGTATGTGTGCTGTCTGTGCAACTGTCTGTGGCTGTTTGTGGCTGTCTGTGGGTGTCTGTGTGCTGTCTGTGGGTGTCTGTGGGTGTCTTCATGTTTTACTATTACCCCGATTTATCTGCGTCAGTTTTCAAGACGTGGAGAAACCAACTTAGTTACAAATTGAAAGCTGCTACTTCGACCACACTCTTAGTTTTTTAGCTAGAAGACCAAACTTGTGTAACATCATGCACCATAATTTATATACTTCTTCGCTTCTGTTCTATAAATCCTACTTCCCGTGGCTTTGGAGCAAATTTTCCACTAGACAAAAGAAAGAGCATCTGTTGAAAAGTTTTCGTCAACCTCTGGCGTTCTGTGGTAACTTAAAATTTTCTTAACGCAGGAAACATCTAGACCAATCAAGCAATTCGGACTGCTAGCTATTCTGTCCGGGTAGCTGTTCAGACGGGTAGTTATAATGTCGAGTAGGCATAGTGTCGGGATAGCTATTCGGATAGCTATACATGGTAGCTATAATGTCCGTCTCATCCTCAAGCATCAATAAAAATTCTGGTTCTTTAGGTACGTAACAAAAAATGATGCTGAATCTGATGGTATTAATTTCAAAGAAATCCAAAATCCAACCGACATTCTTCTGCAAAACTCATTTCAGAATAAGAAATTTTGCAATTTTCTCCCCCAAAACAAAACATTTTTGAACTTTCAAGGTGATATTCGAGATCAGCATCAAATTCTGCATCGGATGGTGTACCTTTTAGCGAAAAACAAAAAGTGCTCGAAATTTGCTTTACGTGCACCTTACCTTTTTCAAACCAATTTTTTTCGCAAAGACGACCCAGATCATCGAGTTTCTACCCTGAATTTTATTCAAAACCTACTTTATCGTTTTTCTTATAGAGCTTGAGCTCGATCAATCTGTATTTTAAAGGAAGACTATGATGATGTTTTAGCCGATTTACTCCGATAGGTAAGAGAGGATGCACTTAGTCTTTAGTATAGAAAAATAGCTCTCGAAGTGCTCAGCAATATTCTGACTAAACAGACTCTACATATCATTGGCTCAATCCTTTGTAGGTCAGATATGGGCCCAGGGACACCTAAAAGTGAATACAGTTGATGTTTTAGCCAATTTACTCTGGATCACTTTTTCCTATGAAACTAAAGAGGATATCTAATCATTCATGCATCATTCGATGCGCTTTGAGAAGCTCTACAACATTTGTTAAATTTTCGGTCTTTTTTTGCTATTTCTTGCTCGTTTTTTATCGGAAAACTTGCTATTGAACACGGTGGTAGACCGAACATTTTTCTACACGTTTATCGTCTCTCAGAAGCCGAATTTAGTATTATACCAAGTGACAAAGTTCTTCAGAATCGGGAACTCTATCACATATGTGAAAATTAACTCATTATTCCAGTGTATAAGCTACCATATTAGTTTCACACTACATGGGATATTAATTTGAATATATTTTATCGACTAAATTTTAAATTAATTATGATAACTATAGACGGACAATTTTTATAAAATCTTCTGTTCATGACTTACATAAGCATCTCCTCTATCGAATGCAAAAAGAATCATCTGAAAATTGTGAAAACTACGCAAGATAACACCGAATTATCCGACATATATCTAATTTCAAGGACAGTCTCTCCTTGAACATATACTGGTTACACATATAAATCAACAAAATACAGGAATGGCACATCCCAATACAAAAAATGAACAGAAGATGCTTATGAGAAGTATTTTAGAAAACTGTTACTTTTTTTTTTTTTTTTTTTTTGAGTTTCCGTTTTTTTTTACCCCCAGAGGGGTTTACAAAAAAAGG